CTTTAGACTGCGCATCATTCTTTTGGCAGATCCCGTTGGATCCAACAACCAAAGAGGTTACAGCGTTCGTCACATATCGCGGATTGTTTGAGTTCAACTATTTACCGTTCGGACTGCACTTAAGTCCAGCGGTTTGCTCAAGAGTTATGGAGGAGATCTTAGGCGATATGAACAGAGATCAGCTATACTACTATGTCGATGACATACTAGTCTTTTCGAAAGGTACGGAACAGCTTTTATAACGACTTGAGGAAGCATTCAAACGGATGCGAGACTACGATCTGAAGCTAAAGCCAACAAAATGTCAAATAGCGTTACCAAAAGTCAAATTTCTCGGACACACGATATCAGGAAGCGGTATACAAGAGCGGGTTAAGGACTGGATAGACATAGCGGTTCCAAAGACAGTCAAAGAAATCCGTGGATTTCTCGGGTATGTCGGGTTTTTCAGGCGATTCATAAGAAACTTTACAACCTTACAAGAACCGCTTACAAAGCTTTTACGGAAAGATCAGCCGTTTAATTGGACAGAAAGTCAACAGAAAGCATATGAAAATCTCAAGAATGAGATCATAAAGCAGCCGATACTGACGTTTTACAACCCGAAGTACGAATTGGTGTTACGTACTGATGCGTGCAAAGAAGGCATAGCCGCACACCTCTTACAGAGAGAACCCGAAGGCGAGAAACTATTGGCGTGTGTAAGCAGAGCGACAACCGAAGTGGAGAAACGGAAATATTGTGCCACAGAGTTAGAGTATTTGTCAATCATCTACGCGCTGAAGAAACTCAGGCATTATGTACACAAACGACGCGTTCAAGTGGTGACGGATTGCCACGCATTGTGTAAACTGATGCGAATCAAAGACCCGAACAGACACTTATCGTTCTGGAATTTAGCACTTCAGGGATATGAGTTAGAGATGGTACACAACTCAGGAGTAAAACACGTCGACGCGGATTACTTAAGCCGATGCCCGCTGAAGAAGGATGACATCGAGGATGAAGTCGACGTCAGTTTGTTCGATACAAGACTTAACACGAGTGCTTATGTAATGCGTAGATCTGCTACACGTGCGTGTGCTAGCATGCGTGTCCACGCGTGTGGTATGACTTTGATTGACTGCTTGACTCTGCGGGACTCGGACTACCTGTCCGGTACTCTATCAACCTATTTTTTTGGTCCACCAACTGCCGGGTGACCACTGCGCTCAGGGGTGTGCGCAACGCTTATATATGGCTAACGAGAGGCGAGGGCTGACAACACGTGTCTTCACTTTCAGATCTACTTCACGGCTCTGATCTCGGCTTTACTTTCTTCTGAGGCTCCCGTCTATGGCTTCCGTCGGTGTCTTCGCGATCGTTACGCTTCCCTCATGACTCAGACAGCAATCAATGGTTAAATAGATTTATTATCGAAGTATTATTAAATGATATACAAATTGGTTAAAACATATTAAATAATAAAATAGTATTATAATAATGAATGCTTCCGGAGCTGGACATATCGGTCGAACTCCGCGTCCGGTCCTCGACTCGATGCTATGGCTGCGTTGGCCGGCTGTCCCTCTTTCAGCTCTTTGAACATTTGACAGCTTTTCCTAAAGTGTTAAATATTTAATGATTTAATGCCAAAAATAATTTATTATAAAAAAAATTATTATATTTTTAATGATTTTTTTTTGATAAAAATAATTAAACTTAACTAAATTGATTGCAATTGTCGACGCATGTTTGTGCCATTAATTAATTATTTTATATTATTTAATTGTTTAAAAATGTGTTTTACATTATTATATCTATTAATTATAAATGTATTTCAATATAAAATTTTATATATTGGTTACTGAAATAATAATAATAATATTTTGTTAAACTGTAATTAATTAATAAAGATGATCTATACAAATTTAATATTTAAAATTTTTTATTTTTTATTAGTGTTGGTAAAATAAAACATATATATTTTTTAATATATATAATGTTTTTATTGTTTTTTTGTGTTAAATACTAAAATAAATTTTAAAAACTATTAATATATTATATTAAATAAAAAAATTTTAAATTTAAATAGATATATTAATTAACAAAACTTATATTAATTATTTCTAAACTGTAAAATTTAATAGTTTTTATAAAATAATTTTTATAAAAATTTAAATATAAAAAATTTAGATTATTTCTTGGTTCCCAATAAATTTTATTAATTTTAATAAATTATTTGATTTAATTTATTAAATATTAAAGTACTCAAAACGTAAACTAAAAATACAAATTTAATAATATCATAATTTAGCATATTAAAATAAAATATCAAATATTTAATTTAATTTAAAATATTTTTTTTAAAAATTAAGTTATTATAAATTTTAAGATTTGCATAACAAAATGCTCAATAAAAAGCAAACAATATTTTATGTATTGAATAACAATTAAAAGTTAAAAATTTCGATATTGTTTGAGATACTTTTTAGATTAAGTTTTGTTAGTTTAAATAGGTTAAAATTTAAAAATTTAAAGTAAAAAATTTAATTATTATAAGATTGTAACAGTATTTGGTACGTAATAGCTGAATCATTAGATTAAAGACTTATTTAGTAAGGTATGTAAACCGATGTCCCGTCCTACACCCGTATTTGGACCGACGACAGGGTTGATGCGCACAACTCGGTTGTCGGTCTGGTATAATTAGGTGGGTAGTCGTTGAGGACGGAGGGCAGAAGCAGAAGTACAGTAAACACAGTCAGTTGTTATGTAAAAGTCGGTTACAACCGTTACCCAACATTTTGCTGATTATAATTGTTGTAAAATTGCTATTAATTGTGTTGAAAATAAATATTACAATTATGAGTGAGTGTGACTAATTAATTAACAACTAGCCAGCGATCAGCAGTCGGTTGGACGACCGGGAGCCCGCACCAGGACCGCCGCCCACCCACAGGAGGCGAAGCAGATTTTCATTCAAGTAGCCAACAATGTCTGGCCAGCGGAAAGCGAGATTGCCGACACCGTTGACTATTTTATCAGAACTCGGGATGAAAATGCCCAATAGATCCACATTCGACATTTTCCAACTACAGGTAAGTCCAAGAAAGAAAAAACGCAAATATAAAATGGCCTAACAATTAATTCATAAACAAAAACCACAGTAAGTAACTTTATTTTATTTTGTTTTTTTTTATAATAAATGTCTGTTTTGTTTGTTAAAATTATTAATTTTATAAAGATTATAATTTTCTTATTATAACTTAGTAAGTCAATTTTAAGGTAGTGTCCATTAGGTGGACAAACTGTTTACTATTTGAAGCCATATTTTTAATTACTATTTAATGAAATGTCGTTATAATTGCCAATATTTGACATACTTATATGAAATAATTGACTACAATAGTGCTGTATCTCTAGTTATAAGTATTGATAAGTTTATTATTAATTTTATTTTATAAAAAAATACATTTTTTTCAAATAACTTGGATGTGTTGGTGATCACTGTCATTATCATTGAGCTCTTTTGCAATTGTTTTGCTAACCAATTATCTAGTTATCTAGTGTATAGCAGTAACAACAATGATTAAGCTGAGCGGTAACGGTGTCAACCGTTTGTATCAAAAGCTCTTGTTTTATCTGAAAGCATATCTGTTGCAAATATTGATTCAGTCAATACAAGCAATGATGGAAAAGCATTATCATTGATAGCCATTTAAGGCCGAGTGTCTCGGTGCTCGCGCTATCCATTGGACAAAGCATTTCTTATTGACTGAAAAATAATTTTATATAAAGACATAAGAGATGATTTAAAACTATTGATTTCACTACCGATTAAGTCTTTTTAGCGTACATCCCATTAATGAATCATTGAATGAATTGCCCAACATATTGTTTGATAATTTTTCAACCATAGAACGGATGTATATCTCATTGTCTTCTCTGGTGAAGATTAATTTAAGATTTAAAATTAAAGATTGAAGAAGCAGATGCATATGCTTTCTATGTGTTACATCTAGACTGGAAAAGACATTAATAGGGTTATTATTGACTAATAACTTGATAGACCGCCTCCCCTTTCAAGCCATCCGTCGCCTCCAAGCACTCGTATCATTAAAACTGCTATCAAACCGAATAAATGAATTACCGGACGACGGTTCCACCCGATTGTTATCCCTTAGGAGTCTAGATCCACACTATAAAAAAAACCAAGCGTTTGGATTCACTATCATTCAAAACTACTTCTAAATTAGTTAACTTTTCAGTAGCTAATATCAGGCTAACTGATTTAGCAATTGATCTATTTTTGGGTATATCTTGAATTTAAAGAATCTAGACTTAAGTTTCAATGAATTAAATGGTATTGACTTGAATAACATGAAAGTTTTGCGAAGTATATTATTATGTAATAATGAATCAATCAATACAATTAATTAAATTCAATAGCATTACTGAATCCGATTGTTATTAGAGAAGTTTTGTATCGCATAATAAATTTGAAAAAAAAATTTTTGCAAAAAAATTTTTAGTTTATTTTAATAATATTTTTTTTTTGTTATAATAGTTAGTTCAGACTTTCAGTTAGTTTGCAGAAAATTTTTAACAAAATATTTTGTATAACATTCAATATCCATTTAAAAATATAACATACAAAAATTTATTTATTTATATACAGTACAGAAGTAACTTTTATAAAATAAGTTATATAAACATTTTATGCATAAATCAATCTCTTTAATTACAGAGAATAAGCTTTTTTTTAACTTTGTATATGCAAACTAATGCACATACCAACACAAATACGAAAATAAAGTTTAGAAAAATTAATAAATAAAAAAAAAATGCATTTAAAAATTTTCAACAAAAAAAATAAAAGTTTAGAAAATTTTGTCAAGCATACAGTCATGTAACCTAAAATACTGATGCTATTTTCGTAGCATTAACTTATTAGTATAGTTAAAGTTATATCTGTTGCCCAACAAATTAATAGATATTTATAGCTACCACTACCAACGCTTGCATTGTAGTCTGATTTCAATAGTACAGAAAAATTGCAACTAAACACTGTATCAGTTAATAAGTGAATCATAATTGAACAAAAGTTAACAGTTAAGTCAACGAAACTAATCTTAAAGTAAAACGTCTAACAGTTATCCGTAAAATTTTGCCGAGTCATGGCTGAGAATCAATACGGAACTAGTGATCCGATACAAACTGATGAACCAGTTTTGGCAAAATATCCATTCGATACGCCCGACGCTCCCGGAGTTCCTAAAGCTATTGACACGAGTGACGATTCGGTTACACTTAAGTGGACTAAACCTCGCAATGACGGCGGATCCCCAATTACTGGGTATGTCCTCGAAAAGCGGAAGGTTGGCGATAAAGACTGGACTCGCAGTCACGTCGGCATTATAGCTGACCTCACTTACAAAGTTTCAGGACTTGAAAACAATGAGGAATATGAGTTCCGAGTGGCCGCACAAAATGCCGCCGGTCAGGGGGCTTTCAGTTATGCCTCCGATGCCATTATTGCTCACCGACCGCCAACAGCACCCAAAATCGATGCCGACTTTACAGTGAAAGACATTATTTTAATGGCTGGCGAACAGTTCAGACTTAGAATACCATTTAGTGGTTCGCCGACACCGAAGGTTGAATGGACTGCAAACGGAACCGTTATTTTGCCGGACGATAGAGTGACCTCAGAAGTGAACGAGTGTTTCACAATTTTGCTCAACAGAAAAGCCAAACGCAAAGACGGCGGCAAATGTGGCGTCAAATTGACTAACACTGAGGGAAGTGATTCACCCTTCTGTAAAGTACTGGTCGTTGACGTTCCCGGTGTACCTCAAGGACCGCTTGAAGTGATTGATGTGACGCCTGAGACCTGCTCTTTGACGTGGGAACCACCGCTCGATGACGGGGGCAGTCCTATCACTAATTACATCATCGAAAAACAGGACCAAACAACTAAACAATGGATTAAAGTGAGCGCTTTTGTACGCAAATGTCATTACGAAGTGATTGGTTTGGAACCAAACAAAGTCTATCACTTCCGAGTAAGTGCTGAGAACCAGTACGGCGTCAGTAAACCACTTGAAACGGATCGACCCATTACTGCTAAGTTTCTGCTCAACACTCCCGACGCACCCGGAAAACCAACGATCACTGATTCCACCAAAAATACGGCGAGTCTTAGTTGGGAACGACCGTACAGTGACGGCGGTTTCAAAATACAGGGCTATTGTGTGGAATACAAGGAACCGACTGATAGTAGATGGCTTATTGGCAATGAATTTCTTGTCAAGGACACCAACTTTACAATCTGTGGACTCATTGAAGGCAAAGAGTATGAGTTCCGTATTAAAGCCAAGAACGCCGCCGGTTGGGGTAAACCGAGTCCGCCGTCGGCCACATTCAGAATGAAGGGTAAGGGAGCCGAACCATCGCCGCCGCAGAATCTTCACGTCAAGAAGGTTGGTAAAACATATGTCGACCTCAAGTGGGAACCGCCGAGAAGTGACGGCGGATCCAAGATTACTGGTTACGTTGTCGAACGTAAAGAACATAACAGCAGTTATTGGATAAAAGTTAATGAATACGGATGTCTTGATTGTGAACATACTGTTCTCAACCTGACCACTGATAATGAGTATGACTTCAGAGTCAGTGCCGTCAACAGCTCCGGTAAGAGTGAGACGTGTCTTATGAGTACATCAGTCAAAGAACAGAAGATCACCGGCAGAGCCAAACCAGAGTTTGTACGCAAACTATTCAACAAAACACTACTCTTAAGTCAGAGATGACACTCGAGTGCGAAGCCATAGGAAAACCGGTGCCCACAAGCAGATGGTTCCGCAACGGCAGAGAACTTCACACCAGAAGAATCAGATCAGTCGATACTGAAGAAGGAGTTTTTAAATTAATATTTTCCGAAGTCTTGGGTACAGACGAAGGCGACTACACTTGTGAAGCGGTCAACGCTTTGGGCACCGATAGGTGCAGTGCTTCGGTGACTATTGCAGCGCCGCCTCAAATCATTAAGTGTCCGAATGAAGTGTATTTCCCAGAAAAAGACAACTCAAAGATCAAGATATATCTCTCGGGTTTGTCTCCATTCGATGTCTCGCTATATAAGGACGGACTCGAAGTCAAAGAATCGGATCACTTGCGGTTCACTGTATTCAACGAATATTTGATTGTATTTTTCAAAGATGTCAACAAATCGGATGAAACGAAGTATAAGATTATGGTTAAGAACGACTCCGGACAGACTGACGCCATAGTTCAGGTGTTTGTCAATGAACTGCTTGGTAAGCCAACCGGTCCTCTGGATGTCACTGATATCAACAAGAGTTCGGCGACTATTTCGTGGAAACCACCTAAATATGACGACGGATGTAAAACAACACATTATATCATTGAACGAAAAGAGACGATACATAATCAATGGGTTGCGGCTACCTCTTTCTGTAAGGACACCACTTTTACGTGTCAGGGATTGAATAAGGGCGGAGAGTATCTCTTCAGAGTTATGGCCGTCAACGAGAACGGACAAAGCGAACCATTAGTCGGCAAAAATCCTATCGTTGCTAAACCACCCTACGATAAGCCGTCGGCACCGGGAGTACCAAATAAAACCGATATTAGCGGCGATTTTGTTAACCTTCATTGGGAGAAACCACAATCGGATGGCGGATTTAGAATTCAGAGCTATATTGTCGAGAAACGAGAGACAGGATCGGAAACCTGGCAAAGAGTTAACGTTGCGTACTGTCCTTCAACACAAATCAATATAATTAATCTAATCAAAGACCGACAGTACGAGTTCAAAGTATTTGCCGTCAACGATGCCGGCCTCTGTCCTTCCTTACAGAACACCGGATACATTAAAATCAAAAACTTAAGAATCACTCATCCAGTGTTTATTATTGTACAAAAAAAAATGATGGCCGTCGAGAATAAAAACACAATATTTACTTGTACTGTAATGGGTGTTCCCAAACCAGCAATTACGTCGTTTAAAGGAGTCGAAGAGTTATATGACAGCGGAAAGTATAGTATGATTAAAGACGGGGACACTTATACATTAACCATATTTGAAGTTTTCGGAAAAGACGCCGATGAAAAAAAGATTGAAATCGGCGATCACTTTGAAGTCGAAGTTAGGGAAAGGCACGCAATTCTAACAACACAAGGGGTATCCAAACTGGACTCCGGCCCCTACAATACGACCTCTAAGCATGAGCTGGGTATTGACTCGAAAGTTATTAAAATGCAAATCAGTGACTGTCCGGATTTGCCGCGATTCCCAATTGTCGAACTGGTAGGCGACGACTTCGTGACCCTCTCATGGAAGGCACCCCTGTGGGACGGGGGCTCAACCATCACTAACTATATTAATGAGAAAAGGGAACCAACAATAGATAGTTGGGTCCTATGCGGAACCACCAGGTTTTTGATGCATCAGATAACAGGACTTAACCCCAATCGCGACTATGTATTCCGAGTGTTCGCCGAAAATATGTTCGGAAAGAGTGGACCGTCGGAAAAGACACAGAAAATCACGACCAAACCATCAGAAAAGGATAGACGACGTAAAGGTTGTCAAACGGACGACTCGGGTCGTAGAATACGTGGAAAAGAAGAAATGAACAAAGAATCAGTTGCCGTTAAAAAGTCAACTAAAGAGGAGGAATCCATTACTGTTAAAAACACTGTCGAAGACAAAACAAAACAATCGATTATTAAAAAAGACGTGATAGAAGAAAAAAGAAAGGGCTCTATTGTTATTGAAGAACCAAAGAAAAAGTTATCACTGAAGAAATCTCGCAAAAAAACTCCACAACCGACCGATACCGGAGCGAAACAGAAGACCACTAAAGAGGTCAAAGAAAATGAAATGGAAATCAAAAAGACAACTATAATCGATGACAAAAGAAAGGATTCAATTACTGTTGAAAAACCGAAAAAACGACTTTCAATTGAGAAATCACGTGAAAAGACGCCGACAGATAATGGAGTCAAACAATTACAAAAAGATGATATCGGAGAGTATAGTGTGGCATCGGATAAGGGTATTGAATGCAGTTGTAATGTGGAAGTCAAAGAGGTAGAGAAGAAACCGGAGCTACGATTAACACAAACTGACTATCAGGTAGACGCTAACCATCTGTTCAGTATAGAGATTACGTACAAAGTTCAAGGAACCCGTACTTCTAATGTTTTACCGAAACTGATGCGCAATGGAGAGCCTGTCAGTACTAAAGATGTTGATACTGTTATAAAAGAAGACAAAATTATAATAACATTTAAGAAACCGACGCGTGAGAGCTCAGGTCCGTATGATTTCAGTTTAGGCAACAGTCAGGGCGAGTCTAAGACACCGCTTAAGTTTAACTTTGTGGACGTGCCGTCACCTCCAGAGGGATCGTTGGATGTGACCGATGTGTTCCGCGATCGCTGCAAACTGGCGTGGAATCCAACCAAAGATACTGGAGGTCTACCTCCATTGTATTATGTCGTCGAACGACAAGATTTATCAATGAGAGGCGGTTGGGTTGAAGTGGGAACCACTCCCGACTGCAATATGGATGTCACAGATTTGGCGCATAAGAAAGAGTATAAATTCCGTGTCCGTGCCGTCAACAAGAAGTGTGCGTCCGAACCATTGACTGCACCGAAAACTTATTTGGCAGAAGATCCGTACGACGAACCATCCAAACCTAAAGGCGTGGAGATTGTCGACTGGGATAGGGATCACGTGGACCTCAAATGGAAAGCACCCGAAAAAGATGGAGGAGCACCCATTGAAAAATATATTGTTGAATCAAATGATAAACTCTCAGCCGATTGGGTCACAGCACTGGAAGTGTCAGGCAATCAATTAGAAGGAAAAGTAGTTCCGCCAGCTATTAAAGAGGGCCAACAATACCAGTTCCGAGTTCGAGCCATCAATAAGGCCGGTCCTTCCGAACCCAGTGATCCGACTAAAAACTTGATAGTAAAGGCACGGTTTGTCAAACCTTTTATTATTGGTGACGATCTCAAGAATTTGGTGGTCAAGAAGGGCGCTATTATTAAGTATGATATTCAGTACAGCGGAGAACCGGCACCTGAGGTCAAGTGGGCTATCAATTGCGTGGATATCAAGCAATCGAGTCGTATATCAATTGAAAACACACCAAAAAATACATTATTACTGATAAAACAAGCCGTGAGAGCAGATTCCGGCAAATTTACATTGACTTTGACTAACGGTTCCGGCACTATATCCAAATGTGCTGATGTAGTAGTTCTCGATAAGCCTACTCCTCCTGAGGGCCCACTTGTTGTTGAAGTGGTATTCACCGAGTCGGCTAAACTCAAATGGAAACAACCAAAAGATTTGGGCAGATCTGAACTCAAGGGATACCAAATCGAGAAAATGGATGTCGACAGCGGTCGGTGGGTACCGGTTGGTGAAGTCGGACCCAATGCCAACAGTTTTAAATGTGAAGGTCTAACCAAAGTCAAGAAATATAAATTTAGAGTTAAAGCCATCAATAAAGAGGGAGAGTCTGAACCGCTAGAAACAGACGGACCCATTGTGGCGAAGAATCCATTAGAAGAACCATCGAAACCAGGAAAACCAGAAGTTGTTGACTACGATAATACAAAAGTTGACCTCAAATGGACAGCGCCTGAAAAAGACGGCGGAAGACCTGTTGAGTGTTATATCGTTGAAATAAAAGTCAAGTTTTGCAACGACTGGAAAGAAGTGCTTCGAACACCTTATGCCAAACCAGAAGTCTCTGTTAAGGGACTCAAAGAGAACTCATCCGTTCAGTTCAAGGTTAAGGGCGTCAATATTGCCGGTCCGGGAGAGCCCAGTGAAGCCACTGAACCACATGTTGTAAAAGACAGAAACCAAAAGCCATATATTGATAGAACTAATCTGAAGAATACAACCATCAAAGCGGGTCGTTCTAACATATATGATGACGACAGAGGTGAACCGCCGACGACTGTTGTCAAGACTTTCAGTAACGACAGCATCAAACTATCGGACGATTTGAACATTAAGATCGAGAATATTGACTATCACTCGGAACTGACTGTATCAAAAGCTACGCGAGAGCAGTCGGGAAAGTATAAGACTACGGCTACCAATAGAAACGTTAGCGATTCGGTTGAAGTCGAACTCACAGTACTGGCCGCTCCTTCTAGACCTGAAGGACCTCTTGAGGTGACTGATGTACACAAGGAGGGCTGTAAATTGAAACGGAAACCATACGATGACGGAGGAACTCCTATTGAATGCTATGAAGTGAAGAAAATGGATGAAGAAACTGGTCGATGGGTTCCGTGCGGTAAAACTAAGGATTGTCAGATGCAAGTGTCAAATTTGGTTCCCGAAAGAAAATATAAGTTGCAGGCCGTCAAAAAAAAAGGCGACTTAGAAGAACTCGAAACGGATCACTCGACAGTGACTGAGAATACGTTTGATGATCCGCCGAAACCGGAACGAAACGAACCACTTAATACTTATGAAAAAAGGAAATATATCGTTAAAAATACAAAAATACCTCAATTAGACGGCTACAACGGTGATGACAGTGATAATCCTACAATATTGACACAACCAGATGAAAACCCGGCCAAACGAAAAAGAGAAGAAGAAAATCCAATAGTAGACGAAAACAAAATTTTGTCTAAAAGACAAAATTTATGCAATGTATTGGATAAGGTGCTACAATCGACAATACCCGTCGACACAGATACTAAACCCTCAACAACTAGCGTCGATGTCAGCATTCCAAGAATTGCTAACTCAAGTAATCAAGTCGTGTCCAAAACAATAACGAATAATAATCGATTTTCAAATCCTCAAAGAAAAATTCTAAAAGAATTTTACGATACCAACGCATACCCGTCGTCGGTCGATTATGATTACTTATCCAAACTACTGAATCGTAGCCGAAAATCGATTAGCAGTTGGTTTAGAAGCACCAGATATAAAGTCCGCAATATTAATAAAACAGCGGGAAATAAAATCCAATCAGAAGACAACCATCTGGCAAATGGTGCTGAACAAGTCAATTGTCTAAACTCCAGCCAGAATAGCGATAATAATATCCACACGCAACCAACTAATGACACGACACAACAGGGAAGTCAATTCATTGAAGTCAATGGCGAACGACACACAATTGTATCATTGGCCCAAAACCCGGAGAACCACGAGTTTCTCCTAATCCTAAGACGAGCAAGTGGCGAACACTTTGGCATTCATGCTGAAAGGGTTAGACCAACCGTCGATGCGATTGAGTCAATATTGGTAACTGAAACCATAGACATCAGCTCCTCTGCAATTAAAACCGATAAAAATAATACATTGACCACCACATCAGAAACAACTACTAGTAGTCAATCGGCTAGTAAGTCACTAACTAGTATTGATACCAAATTGGTTCAACCCTCCGAATCAATCTCGTCACCAATTGAAGTAGAAGATAGTGAAGAAGTGATTACTAAGAAAGTAGACACAATTAAAGACACCGGCGTCGCCGGCTTATCTCCTAAGCAGATAGAGCAATTGAATTGTGATATTCAAGTATCCTGTTTAAGAAAGAAAACTGTACTCATTGACAAATTGAGATGTCTATGGGGGCAAATCACATACAGTGGCGGAGTGTATACCAAAGTAGAACCAGAGCTGGTATCTAGCGAATCCATGTCACCAACACCGAAAATTTCAGATGAAACTAAACACCAACTACCACTAAAATTCCCAATGACTGTCCAACAACTCGATGACAACACTGTACTTTTATGTTGGAAGAAAATTTTATCAAAATACGAAAATGACAACCCCGTATATAATGTGGAGATTAAGGATTATACGCAAGGGGTATGGACCCACATAGAATACTGTGATTTCCATATGACTCACGTTTCCAACATACGATATGGTCGACAATATCAATTCCGGATGACCACAAAAGACAAACACGGGAAACCATTTCTCGCATTAAGCCGACTTTATCAGTTACCGGAAGAGTACAGACGGTTAGCCAAGAAAATTACCCATAATAATAAAATAGAAGCAAAAACATCATCTTCTTTTGTGACAACAACAAGAGACGCCGCTACACAGTTCTCTAGTTGCATTAAACCGGGGAAACCTTTCGTTAGGAAAATTGATGACAAACACATCCGACTGGTGTGGGAGATGCCGGAGTCAATGGGCGATTGTGAATTCATAATTCAAATGAAACAAGAGGATCAAGACTTCTGGTCACGAGCTAACTTTGAGATCCAGAAGAAGCCGTATTTTAATTATCCAATAATCGATTCACGGATAAAAGTTGAATTTCGCGTAATTGCCATTACCGAAGACGGAGAAACAGAACCGAGTGAGTCAACTGGACTCCTTGGTTGTTATGTTTCCAACAACGATGGTTGGGTAGATGTTGAGTAAACGGGAAATCTGCAGACGCGTCTTGTGCAGTCAAAGCTGACCGCCCGCAGATAACCTGTTATTAGTTAATACTAGTTAATTTAATTATTTTATTTGTTTGAATGATTAATTTAAATTTTAACCTAATACATACACAAAGACATTTTACACAAAAACAGAACACATTTGTTATTTATCAGTATCTTGTATAACAGGATGTTGATAGGATAACGATTTCGCAGAGGGTTCATCAGAGCCCTGAGTTATTCAGTACTGAAGAAACTGTATGTGAACCTTCGTGGTGTCCTTACATTAAGCGCATCGCATTGAAGACGTTCAATGCGTTATAAGTCGTGGTCGACTTAATTTGATATTAGGTCGATGTCATTTGTCGATAGGAAGGTGGCCTGATCGACGATTTAATATCGATATCGATAACCGACTAGAAGAGGCGTTCGACGTCGGATTTTTATATACACGTGTTGTTTTGAATTCAGAAAACGCATGCAATTGTACTCTATTTAATCTATCCTTTTTAATCTGATGTATTTTTAATTTTAAGTCGATCGGGGACGATCGACAATGGTTGGGTGGCGATTGTAACAGTATTTGGTACGTAATAGCTGAATCATTAGATTAAAGACTTATTTAGTAAGGTATGTAAACCGATGTCCCGTCCTACACCCGTATTTGGACCGACGACAGGGTTGATGCGCACAACTCGGTTGTCGGTCTGGTATAATTAGGTGGGTAGTCGTTGAGGACGGAGGGCAGAAGCAGAAGTACAGTAAACACAGTCAGTTGTTATGTAAAAGTCGGTTACAACCGTTACCCAACATTTTGCTGATTATAATTGTTGTAAAATTGCTATTAATTGTGTTGAAAATAAATATTACAATTATGAGTGAGTGTGACTAATTAATTAACAACTAGCCAGCGATCAGCAGTCGGTTGGACGACCGGGAGCCCGCACCAGGACCGCCGCCCACCCACAGGAGGCGAAGCAGATTTTCATTCAAGTAGCCAACAATGTCTGGCCAGCGGAAAGCGAGATTGCCGACACCGTTGACTATTTTAATATCTATTTAATTTCAAAATATTTGTAATTATTAATTATTTTTTAATTTTATCAAATCAACAAAATAAATAGTTAAAACAAAATTAATTTACTTGATAATTAATTCTACTAATACTATAATATTAAGCTAACATAATAATTTATTAACTATACTTAGTATTAATTTACAGTTTGAATAATAAAATTTCAATGTGTTTCAAAACTTTAATTAAATAATAAAAATATATACTAATTAATTATAAAAAATATTAAAATTTCGAGTAATTCATGTCATTTTTTTGGGAAATTATAAAAAAAATTTCATCACAAAAAAACAATAAACTATTTTTATTTAAAACACTAAATTTGAATGAAGTTTTTAAAGATTTTTAAAGATATTTTTTGTTAATCACTGTTTAGGAAGTGTTATTGGTATTAATATTTTTAGTTTAATTTAAAATTAACATATTATAAAACTAAATAATAGAGATAAATAATTTATAATTAGCTATATTTTATTATAATTTATATACAATTACTGAGAGATTATGAAAAAAGCAATTTTTATCAATAAAAACAAACAATTGTTTGTATTTTTATTTAAAATTATATTTTAAAAAGTATTTTGTTATAATTGTAGTGTCATAGTTATAGTGATAATTAAATCTAATATTATCATATAGTAAAAACAAAATTTTATTCATAAACTCAAATATTAGTATAATTAAAAATAAAAATATAGATAATATTAAAGTAATATTTAAGACAATAAAATCAATTATAATATATAAAAAATGAATAATAAAACTAAAATAAATGATAAATTTATATGTAATCTATTATAATATTTAATTAATTTTGAAATAAATAATAAATTTATAAACTGGAAATTTGTACAGTTTTTGAATTATTCTTGTTTTTTTTTTTAAAAAGATTAGCTTAAATTACTGTATTATTAAAAAATTATATTGTTTATTTTTTGTTTGATAAACTTTTTTAATTATTTTTTTTAAAAAAAGCAAATAAAGCAATTTGAACTATAATTTAGTTAATTTACATTATAAATTATCAGTTAAATTAATTATCATTAAATATATTACACAAACTGTAAATAATTATTTTGTTTATTTAATATACTCATAAAAATTTTAAAAACTATTTTAGTTTTAGCTATACGGATATACGAAATTATATTATATTTTAATTATTTATTAAATTTTTTAATTAGTTTTAATTAGTTTTAATTAGTTATTTAGTTAAATCAAAAATAATTATTTAAAATAATTGATTGCAATTATCCAAACAGGTTTGTGCCGTTAATTAATTTTTTTATTTATTTAAAAATATGTTTTTTTTATAAAAATTTTGTATAGTATTATGTCTATTAATTATGAATTTATTCTAATAAATATATTGATTAGTTAAATAATAATAATAATAATAATAATTTGTTAGACTATAATTAAATAATAAAAATGATCTATACAACTTAATAATTAAAATATTAAACTTATTATTAGTCTAGATGTCATCAAACAAATTTTTTTTTTAAAGAAAAACTACATTATTGTAAAAAATATAATAAATGTTTTTTTTGTGTGAAATATAATAATTTTCAAGTTAACCGTCAATACCACCATGTTAAATTATGATATTATCAAATGATTTATATTTTTTAGTTTTTGATTATTAAAATAAATAAAAAATAATTTAGATTAGCTAGAAAATAATCTAACGGTTTATATATATATATAGTTATTGAGTATACATTTGTAATTAATAAACCAAAATTATAATTAATATTTATACATTTTTTAATAAATTAAATAATTTGTAAAAAAATAGAATTTAAAATGGACGATTAGTAGCCTAATTTTAATAATTAGATTTTTTTCATAAAAAATTATTATATAGAAATTAGTAAATTTTACAGTTTTCAAAAAAAATTAATATATGTATTCTTTTAATTATATATTTTTAATTTTAAAAACTGGTTAATTGATAAAATTTATTGACAATCAATTAAAAACATTATTATATTTAATTTATAACTAATATGTAGTTAACTATTAAATAATTATTTTAAATATATAATCTTATAGGATTTAATTAGATTTCAGTTATATTAAACTAAAAAAAATATTAATAACGATAATAATAAAAAGTTATGTTGGTTAAAATTAAATTACATAATATTAATAAACTGTATCAAATTAATATTAAAGATATTTAATAATTTATATAAAAATACTATTTTTTATAGTTTAGAGTTCCAACCGTAACACCTATTTTTTGTTTGTTTTAATATATAAATATTTTTTTGTAGATATTTGTAAAAATAAAACAATTAATTATTACAAATTTATTTTTTTAAATAATAATAATAACTAACCATTTTTATTTGTTAATTAATGATTTAAAAAAAGTGATTTATAAAATAAATACTTATTGTATATACATATTACTATGTTAAACTACAGTTTAAAAAATTAATTTAAAACATTAATTAAACAGTACTATAAATAATCGATTAATAATTGTTATAACAATAAATGATTTTTTTATTATTATTATTAATTAGTTAGTTTCAAAAATAATTATATTATATATTATTGCATTTTATTATGAAAACTTTTATTTTTATAATTATTAAAGTTATTTGAATTGTATTGCATTATATCATTGGATATATATTTCTTAATAATTATTAAATATAATAACTAAAACAAAATTAAAAAATAAATTCGATATTAATTTATATTATATGTAAAATATAAGTATTACCATCTTTATAATCAATTAAAAATTATTTAGAAAAAATTATTATTTAAATTAAATTATTTATCAGTTATAAATAATCACTAATAGAAATACATAATATTTTAATAATTATATTTATATTTATATGTATTGTTAATTATTATAATTTTAGTTTAAAATAAATTATTTATTTAATTTCTGAGTGACTATTAAAATTAATAATTAAACTATTATAATTAAATTAAATATAAGAGATTATTAAAATATAAAAATATATATTATTGAAATTGAAATATTGAAAAAACAGAAAAATTGTACAGTTATTGAATTATTTTAAAAAATAACATTAGCATAAAATATTATATTTATATATTTTTTTTATTAATTTGTGCTTGATAAAATTTATTAATTTTTATTTATGCTAATCAATAAGTAAAATGTAAAAATTTGTAAATTTGATAATAATTTTTTGATAAATATTTTTTGAGTTATATAAATGATAAATTTTTTTTACATTGCTATTTATCTAAAAATATATTAGTAAAATTGTATTAATAAATTAAATTTCACTTTATTTATAGTTTAATTAAAATTGATTTATAATTGTTATATTATTTTTTCGTTCATAATAATAATAATCATCAAAATCAAACTGCAAATTAAATTAGTAATTATGAATAAAGTGATTATTTAACTAAAATAATTTCTAAATGAATTTTAAAATTATTGTTTGTTTATTTTTTTGAATAATCAATTGAATAAAATTATAAATTTTTTAATATCATAATTTAGCATAATAAAATTAAAATTGAAAATTGAAACACCACTTAAAATTTTTTTATTTTGTATTATTTGCTTTATTTATAATAATTTTTAATATGAATCATTATTTATCAATTAAAATAGTAATTTTAAATAAATAAAAAGTTAACATAAAATTTAATTTATTTGTAAAAATTTACATAAATCCCTCCCGTCCTAGATATTTGACTAAACAATTTTTTTTGAAATTTTTTATATTGTTAACTAGAAATTTGTTTTTCCCTTAATTTTCAAATAATAATTTTTAATGAGTTTAAATAGCAAAAAAATAATGTTAGATATTATATTATTTTATCAACATAATTGTAAATTATAAATTAAAACAATAAAATATATTTAGCGTGTATGTCAATTATTTTGTATTAAACATTTATATTTGTAT